AAAAAAAAAAAAAGTTATTCTTAATTATTTGGTTATACCTGATCTAATAATTATTTCAGCCCTTAGAAATGAGAATTTTTTCAGGCTAGAGTCAGAGAGATGTGGCAAAAGAAGGAACAGGAACAGGAGAGATCATACAGAAAGGGAGATCAGAGAGATTTAAAGTGTGAGGAGGACTTGAGGTGCCCTTCCTCGTTTCGAAGATGGAGGAAGGAGGAGCCACAAGCCAAGGAATGCAGATGGCCTCTAGGAGCTGGGAATCCCCATCTGAAAGCCAGCAAGGAAACTGCACAGAACTGAACTCTGCCAACAAGCTGAACGAGCTTGAAAGCAGATCCGCACCCCCGCCCCTGTCCTCCACCCAAACCCCACCACCCCCGAACCTTCATTGAGGAACACAGTCCTGATGACCCTTTACCGGTGCAGTTCTAGATTAGAGGAGACTAAAGAGACATGATAACCAAATTCAAGACGACCCTTTGATTAGATTCTGTTTGTGGATGGGGTAGGGAATAACTTTAAAGAATGTTGTTGAAACAAGTGGGGAAATTTTAATTTGGCCTATTAGAGAATAGTATTTTATCAATGTTAAATTTCCTGAATGTGATAGTTGAATTGTGGTTATTTAGAAGAATGTCCTAGTTCTTAGGAGACAACATGCTCAAGCATTTAGGAGCGAAGTATCATCCTTAATATAAGCCGATATAAAGCAAATGTGTACAATGCGAACAGTTGGTGAATCTAGATGAAGGGTATATAGGTGTTCATTGAATTATTTTTTGCAATTTTTCTAAAAAAAATTTTTCAAAATAAAAACTTGACGGGAAATAAAAATCACTGTGGATACTTTGTGTAGCATGGATTTGAGGTCAGTAGGAAAGAAGTGGGAAGACAGGATGAGAAGGTATTTCGCAGCCAGACTGAGGGCTGGGATGCAAGAGGAATAGCAGGGATAATGGAAAGCATCCCCCGCCCACAGCTAGGCCGGCGAAGCAGCTCATCCTAAAACTGTGGTTCCCACAGGCTTCCCTTGCAGGGCCGGGGGTGTGGTCGCCCAGCTGCTTTCGAATTTGGTTGGGATTGAGGACGGGTGCCTCGGGATGCTTTACCCCGCCCCGCTCCAGATTGGAAGAGCCCACGTGTCAGTGTTAGATGGGGGAAGCGGCATCATAAATTTAATTAGCGCTTCTCTTCTCAAAGTATCTTCCAAATCTTTGGCCTTTTTCCATAACATAATTTCCTTTTAGGTCAGTATCTCTTTAAAATTGATGTTTAATTAAGAAAAAGTGTGAGTCACATAAAGATGATTTTTTCAGCTTCCCCCGCTACGTCCGCCCCATGCGCCAGGCCGCGAGAGGCAGGACGTGGAAGCGGAAGTGCTGGTCGGGGGCGTTCTCTCGAGTCCGGGGCGCAAGTAGCGGACGCTGCCCATGGAGGCGTCTAGCGAGCCGCTGCTGGATGCTAAGTCCGAGGTGAGTGCCATCCGGGAAGGAGAGCGGGCATCGAGGCTCTGGAGCAAGAAAGATGTTTCTCTAAATTGTGTTTCTGCTTCCGTTTCAGGTCACCAACCAGGTGAGTGAGCGACCGCCCCACCCTGTCCTCCGCCGGCCCGCCTCCCACGGCTGCGAGACCATGCCACCCTGAGCCTTCCCCAGGTCTCCCCGAGTCTTGTGTTCGGGAGCCGGTGACCTTCAGTCCGCCTCCTTGCGTTGCTCCTTCTCCTTTGCATCTGAGCCAGTAGCCGTTGCCATTGTAATGAAAGCTCCTCTTCCTCACCCCGCACTAGCCCAAAGAATGCAGATCAGGGATTGTTGGGCTTTGATTAGGCGTCATTTATTCGAAGCTAGGAACACCGTATTTTAAAGTGTGGTGGATATAGAAGAAGTTATGAAAATTTTCAGAGATAGCGTCGCAAACATTTTCTTAGTCTCTAAAAAATGTTATTTTTGAAGATGAAGTGTAGCATTTTAGCCTTTTAGAGTATGCATTTATAATGCTAGGAATATGAATTTGACTTTTAAAGTATATGTTAGCCCCATTTCCTTTTCAAGTGCTGCTGTGCTGTTTTAGCTAATAAACTATTTGTAGGCAACTAATTTATAACACTTCCCAGAATAGGAATACTAAAACTAGAGTATTTTTAGGCCAGGAGTTACCCAATTCCATACAAAATGTAAGAAAGGGATGAGATAAGAAATAATTAGAATACAGGGGCTGAGAGAGGTGTCCATTGACTGCTCTCTGTCATTTTTCTCTAACTGACTTTGCTTTTGAGGATTCCTGGGAAGTAGGGGAAGTCAGCTGTCAACCGTCTTACCTGGCTTTGCTTAGTTATATGACTTAGTGCATTTTGAGTCGATCTTTCGTAAGTCATTTTATCCATTCTCTTACGTTAAGTTTTGTATTTAAGATATTCTGAAACAGAATTATACTAATTATGGGGTTTTTTAAGTTGAACTCTTTTTGGCTTAAACACAAATTTATTATCTTCTAGTTCTGGAGGTCAGAAGTCCTAAACTAGTCGTACGGGGCTAAAATCAAGGTATCTGCAGGGCTGTGTTCCGTCTGAGGCAGTAGGGGAGATTGTTTCCTCCTTGGCTTGTGGCCTCTGCTTCCATCTTCAAAGCACATCATTCCAGCCTCTGCTTCCATTGTCACATTGCCTTCTGACTCTGACCCTTTTTCCTCCCTCTTATAAGGACCGTTTCGATTACATTTGGCCCACCTGGATAATCCAGGAAAATCTCCGCATCTCCAAGTCCTTAATTTTGTCACATCTACCAATACTGTTTTGTTGCCTAAGGTAACATATTCATAGATTTTGAGGACTAGCATGTGGACATATTTGGGAGGGCCATTATTCAGCCTACTGCACATCCTTCTATACAGTCATTCACAGATTATGAGTGTTTGCATAGAAAAAGCCAAGATCATTTACAAACAGGTTATTAGATTTAATGTGAGAGTTCAGCAAGGTGATTCCATTGTTGAATGTTATTTAGTTCAGACAAAAAGAGTTGGAAAATATAATTTTAAAGATGTCATTTACAACACGAAGAAACTATAGGCCGGGCATGGTGGCTCACGACTGTAAGCTCAGGGCTTTGGGAGGATTGCTTGAGGCCAGCAGTTTGAGACCAGAGTGGGCAACATAGCAAGATCTTATCTCTATAAAAATAAAAAAATTAATCAGGTGTGGAGGCACAGACCTGTAGTGCTAGCTACTCAGAAGGCTGAGACGAGAAGATCTTCTGAGCCCAGGAGTTTGAGGCAGCAGTGAGCTTTAATTACACCACTGCAGTCCAGCCTGAGTGACAGAGTGAGACTCCATCTCTTAAAGAAAAATTACAGAGGACCTTGCAATAAATCTAACAAAAGATATTTAAAAGTTTTATGGAGAAAATACAAAAAGTGGTAGACTTTTACTTTGTGGTCCAGCTCATAAAGAGCTTGGAAGTCATCACCCTGTCCTAGCAACAAGGAAAAGCTGAACAAACTGAAAAATGAACAACTCCTCTTGGATCTGTCAGAGAAGCGCGATCACAGGGTGAATTGCCGTCCCCCGAATTGGTGAGACAGACTGCGAAGACAGAGAACCACAACTTAGAGCAGAAGCTCCACAGAAACCAATGCCTGAACTGAAATTGATGGATTGCTGCAGGCTCCCATCTCTCCCTCACACCTGACGTACAGTCATATCAGCATATTGTTTTCTCTCGCTCTAAATTCACCACCTCTTGCTGCCACCTGGGTTCAAGCCGCCATTCTCTTTCCTGGAATACTGCAGTAGCCTGGTAACAGGGTCACCCAACTTTCTTAAACTTTGTGCCTCACCAGGCAGTCTGGATGAGCTTTTTGTAATCCAAGTTAGACCAGGTATCTCTGCTACTCAGAGCTTTTTAAGAGATTCTTGTCACACTGGAAAAAAGTCATAGGTATTTACTGTGGCCTACAGGGCCCTTCGAAGATGGATTCCTTATCTCTTACCACTCTTCCTAGCTCATGCCCCTCCAGCTACCTGGGCCTCATTGTTCCCTGAACACACCAAGCATGCTTCTCCCTCAGTCCAGAATGTTCTTTTCTCCAGACCCTGTGGCTTTTTCTTCATTTTATTAGAGTCTCTTTCTGTTCAAAAGCCACATGAAAGAGGTCTTCCCAGGTTCTATCTAAATAGCCTTTCTTGTCACCCTGTCACCTTACCCTGCATTTTGTCACACCATAATGCTACCATTTCATTATACTTTTGTTTATTGTCTGCCTTCCCCACTAGAATTCTGAAGGTCAGGAACCATGCTTTATTTTTGACTTCCCTAATGCTTAGAATATAGTATTGCTTAGTATATACTGAATAGTGAGGTCTCCCTCCCTTACTCAAAACATATAGGAATTGCCAATTTTATAGATAGTTTTTATAGTCATGTTTTTATATTACTAGTAACTTCAGCCTCCACATCAATTTTTAGTGTGACGACAGCTAATTTGTTTACCTTTTTATATATTTACTTCCTGATTATTCTTTTTACTTCTGGCTGTTTTTATATTTTCTTTTTTACTACTAGCTTTTTGTTTCTTTATATGTTTTCCTTTTTCAATACTTCATCATACAGTAATTTTGGGGCTGCCATACATTGTTTCATTCTTAACATTCTTCATAGTGGTAAGTGTTCTCTGTTCTGATTTTTTCTTTTATATTCTTGTATTTTTAAAATCTTTGCAGTTCACTCCTACTTAAGATGAAACCACAATTATTAGAAGGTTTGCTTTCATTTTGCATTTAAATGTTGAGGTTAGAATTTTGGAAATTATTTCATAAACCTAGTCCTAGCTTTCTTTCAATTGTGAAGACTGACTTTGCACGGTGTCTTGATGGCAGGTCTCCCTGTTTCCTCACCTGACAATTTCACTGTTTTAATAGTCAGTGGAACTCAGCATTGCACGCCTTCTTTGCTTTTCTGCTTGAAATCTTCTAGTTTTATTTCAGATTCTGAGAAACAAATAGGCACCTTTTTACTCTGCCACTTTCATGTGGATGGTAAAAATGGAACTTCTTCCATCAAGGAGTTGTAGAGTCTAAATACTGTTAAGAATAAGAAATTGCTTACTTATTTCTTACTCAAACTTTTAGGGGAGGGAAGCCCAGGTAGAAGAATCGCTTGAACCCAGAAGGTCTAGGCTACAGTGAGTCATGTTCATGCCACTGCACTCCAGTCTGAGCAACAGCCTGAGATCCTGTCTGGAAAAAAAAAAAAGGAAAATGAATTCGAGGTTCAATTTTTGGATGTCACTATTGAACTGGAATTAAAACTCTCTACTCATGAACTCTGCTGAATTCTGTTTTTGGATTTTTAACCTATTTCTGAACATTCCTGTTGAGATATCCCTAGTGTCATCTCATAATGATACTTTCGGACTGGATACCTCAGCATTCTCCCAGTTATCCAAGGTCAAATTTTTATAATTTTCTATGAACAACTATAGTTGTAGGCAATCATCAAGACCTAGCAATACATCTTTCTTATGATCGGTTTAGTCCTACTTGTCACCAGCTTAGTTCAGGCACTTATATAACTTCAGACTTGGATTATTATGTTCTGCTGCCACCAGATGAATCTCTCTCTCTCTTTTTTTTTTTTTTTTTCCAGAGTTGGGGGTCTCGCTCTGTTGCCCAGGCTGGAGTGCAGTGGCATGCTCACAGCTCACTGCAGCCTTGACCTCCTGGGCTCAGGTGATCCTCCCACTTCATTCTCCCAAGTAGCTGGGACTTATAGGTGTGCCCTACCACACCTGGCTACTTTTTGTACTTTTGTATTTTTTGTAGAGACAGGGCTGTTGCCCAGGCTGGTCTGGAACCCCTGCACTCAAGTGATCCACCTGCCTTGGCCTTCCAGAATGCTGGAATTACAGGTGTGAGCCACCGTGTCCAGCCTGAATATCCATTAATCAATATTTTGATATCATTCTCTCTATTGAAAAACTTTCAGTGAGTCCCCAATGCCTACAGGGAAAATTTAAGTGACTTAATGTGATGTTTTCCATAGGAAGATAAAGGATATAAAAGTACTGTGAAAACCTCTGAAAGCTCAATTTGCAAGGAATTACTGGCTTTTTGATCACTTTTGTCAACTTTATTTTTCATATTTCCTTACAAGAGCCGTCTACTTTAAAATAGATAAATGTTCTATCCCTAAGCCAAATTTTGACTCTTTTCATCTGTAATTGGTTCCACCCAATATTTATTAAGCATATATTCTTTGCTAGGTGTGCATTTATGGTATATATAAATAAAACACATTTTTCTCTCAATTCCTGTTCTGTTTATTTTTAAAATGGAGCTTAAAGCCTTCTGTAAAGCTTTCCCTTAACTCCCTAGGCTACAATAAAGTCTTCCTTTCAACCAGAAATGTACTCACTCACTTATATTGCTCTCTCTGGAGTATATATGCAAAAAGTGCACAAAATATGGACAGTTAATGAATTATCTAAAAGTGAACACTCATGTAACCACAAGCAAAAGTCAATAAATGGAGTGTTACCAGTCCCCCAGAAGCCCACCACATGCTCCTCTTCAATCAGTGCCCACTTCTCTCCACCCCAAGAGGATAGGCATATTCTTCTCTTTATAGTTTTACCACCTCTTTCTCAAGTTTAAGTGAACAGAATCATAACTTTTGGCCTTGTTTTAACATTTTTGGTTTTACGTGTAACTGAAGTTCATTTTCATTGCTGTGTAGCATTTCATTTATCCATTTTATTTCTGATGAACATTTGGGTTTTCAGTTTAGGGCTATTACGAATAAAGCTGCTAGGGACATTTTCATATATGTATCCTGTGTACACATTCACAAGTTTTTCTAAGTTCTGTCCCTAGTAGAATTTGGATCACAGTATGCGTAGCTTCAGTTTTACTAGCTAAAGTCAGTTCTTTAATAGATTGGCCCAGTTTATACTTTCACCAACAGCATGTGACACTTCCCATTGCCTCACGTCCTTCCTTGTCAATACTTGGAATTTTCAGACTTAAATTTTTGCCATTTTGGTAGCTGTGTAGTGGTATCTAATTGTGGCTTTAATTCCTTGTTTCTTAAGGTGAGCACATTTTCATAGGTTTATTAGAAATTTGTAGTTATTTTGTGATTTGCCTTTCTCTATTTTTATATGGAGAACTTTTCTTTAAAATGAATTTATACAATCTTTTTACTTGTAAAAGATGTTAACCTTTTGTCAGCACCAGCTTGGACTTAATGCTGTAGGAGATTGGTGCAAAGCAAGTCTGAGATAGGAGGGATTTTTGGTCCCCCTTTTATAAAAATGGGAGATTTACAAATGCCTTCCCCTATTCCATACCCCAAAAGTCCTAAAATAGAAGATGGGTTATATAACTTCCATGGTTGATTGAGGCATACATGGGAACCATTCCATTTCTTTTCCTCACCATAGTCCTTAAGCTCAAATACTACATTAGTGTAAATAGTGATAAGGTGGTTTGGATTTCATCAGTGTTTGTGATAGATATGTGGTAGGATACATGGTGGGATTTACAAAAATCCTAACTTTTACAAGAAGAAATGTATTAACAAGTGAAGATTTTTGCCCAGTGAGCATTAGTTTTAAAGAAAAAGGTATCAGTCAGTGAGCAAGTGCTTTTTGAGTGCCTGCTATGTATCAGGCTAAGCTTTGGAAACAAGACAGACAGTATTTTATCCCTGTGTTTTATGTTTTAGAGTCATGTTTTTTGAGGTACTATTAACAGCTGCATGTTTTATGCCATGGCATCATTTAGCAGTCATTGACAGGAATTAGATTAAAAAGTATTGAGGCAACCAGTAGTCACTAAGCATGTCATCTTTGGAGTCAAACAGACTGGTTTCAGTTGATTCCAGAAATGTGTGACCTTATGCACATTACCTAAGCTCTCTGAAGTTGGCTTTTGTCATCTACAAAGTGGAAACAATAACCTATAATGTTACGTTGATTCAGTAAGGTATTTAATACATGTAAACTGCATAGCACATCACCCAGGGCGTATATCTGTCATGAACACTGATGAAATCCAAAATTACCTTATCACTATACATGCTAATATAAGGCTTGAGCATGGAACAGCGAAGTGAACTAAAAGATACTCCAAGCCTGTTAAAGGAAACCAGTACTGCCACATCTTCCTTCCACTTGCATTATATATTGGAGGGGAGATTTTATTTTCCCCCACTTTTTGCTTTTTTCCATTTTTAACTACCATGGTGTTTTCTAACTGCGTTTATATCCCTTATTACCTCTCCATTTTTTCATTTGATTATTGTTCCTCTAGCAATATTAAAATGAAGATACTTTCTTTAAATATGACCAACGTTGAAACTAAAAGTTGAGTATGAGTGCAGTAAAATTGAATAAATATCTGCATTCCAGGTAATGTTACTACTAATATATTATTCTGTCTTATTAAAGCTTGTAGATTTTCAGTGGAAACTGGGTATGGCTGTGAGCTCAGACACTTGCAGATCTCTTAAGTATCCTTATGTTGCAGTGATGCTAAAAGTGGCAGATCATTCAGGCCAAGTAAAGACCAAGTGCTTTGAAATGACGATTCCACAGTTTCAGGTTTGTGATTTAACTCATCCAGTTTTAGCTCATTTTTTCTGTAATTGTCGTATAAAAAGATATATACAATTTTTCTTTGGGAAAACTTTAATGGTTTTTATTTGTAAATTGATGTGCTTTACGTTTACTAGTAGTATATGCAAGAGATGTGAATTTGTCTCCTTTGGGAATTTGATAAATTATTTTCAATATAATGTGCTGAATTTGTGTACTGTGCCATTTGATCACTTGAAAAGTACTCCTCTGAGTATATTTAGGAAATTTTTATCTTCAGTGGCAGGATATTTACTTTGCATTTAAATGTTTTATTCTTATTCCTTTGGGCTTAATGTTCAAAAATGTTAAGCTAAATGAATCTTTGAATAGCGCTGACCCTGAATTTTCTAACTAATAATGTTTACAAAAGGCAGGTCAGAGCAAGTGAACTTGCCTGGCTTTATCAGCTAGGGACTTAAGTAACTCAGTAGTTTAGAGTTATGTTACCATATTATCATTCTACCTCTTTTCTGTAACCAAGGGGGAGTAAGGGTCGTGGTGGGGAGGGCTATAAATCAGGTTTTCTTTTTGTGTTTTTTTGAGATGGAGTCTCGCCCTGCCACCCAGGCTGGAGTGCGGTGGCACCATCTTGGCTCACTGCAAGCTCCGCCTCCTGGGTTCACGCCATTCTCCTGCCTCAGCCTCCTGAGTAGCTGGGACTACAGGCGTCTGACACCACACCTGGCTAATTTTTTTGTATTTTTGGTAGAGACGGGGTTTCACTGCGTTAGCCAGGATGGTCTCGATCTCCTGACTTCGTGATCCACCCGCCTTGGCATCCCAAAGTGCTGGGATTACAGGCGTGAGCCACCGCGCCCGGCCAGGTTTTCTTTTAAATGTACATACTGGAGATGTTTTGTCATGAATTTAACAGTCCTGTACAGTTTTATTTTTGTTTGTTTGGTTTGTTCCTTTTGATATGAATAGGTAAGAATCTATTCTTAGCACTTACACACTAGTACTAACTTAGTACTTACACTTAGTACTTATAACAGCAGTTAGTACTCTAAAAGTCAAAGCAACCGTCGTGAATGAAATGGAAATAAAAAGTGATTCTTCGTAAAACAAACTAAAATTATATTGGTCCTAGGCTTCCTTTTAAATAAAACTCTTTCATATACCACTTTATGGTACTTTTGATTTCTACTTTTATAAACTATATTTTAAATAATTTCTTTCCCTTTCTTTTTTTTCCTTTTTTGAGACACAGTTTCACTCTTGTTGCCCAGGCTGGAGTGCAATGGCGTGATCTCGGCTCACTGCAACCTCCGCCTCCCGGTTCAAGTGGTTCTCCTGCCTCAGCTTCTTGAGTAGCTGGGACTGCAAGCACTTACCGCCACGCCCGGCTAATTTTTGTATTTTTAGTAGAGATGAGGTTTCACCATGTTGGCCAGGCTGGTCTGAAACTCCTGACCTCAGTTGATCTGTCTGCCTCAGCCTCCCAAAGTGCTGGGATTACAGGTTTGAGTCACCGTGCTCAGCCCGATTTCTTTATTTAAAATAGATATCCCTGCTTTGAAACAAAAATAATGTTCACAAATTTAACATTATTAGTGTTGATTAGTGTCTTGGAACTGAGACTCAGTGAAAAGGAAATAAATGTATATTGTGATATGGGAATGACATTCAACTAAATATGAAGACTCAGTCAATTTCAAGAGAGAATATACGTTTTGGTTTTTTTTGTAATTCACAGTGCTGGCCTAATTCTTACTATTCTGTGCAGCATTTGTGCTATCCTAATTCCACCTTTAGAAATTTTTTCTCATAGGGAAAAAAAGCACAAATGGATTAATTTTTTCCACAGCTTTATTGAGGTACAGTTGACAAAATTGTGTATTTCGAAGGTTTCACAATGTGATGATTTGATAAACATACACATTTTGTAATGATTACCATAGTCATGCTAATTAACACATCCACCTCCACACACAGTTACCTTTTTTGGGGGACAGAGTGTGTGTGTGTTGAGGGCATGTAAAATCTTTTTTTAGCAAATTTCAACTAAACAATATAGTATTATTAACTGTAGTCACCATATTGTACATTAGATCTCAGACTTACTTATTTTATAACCAAAAGTTTGTACCTTTTTACTAACATTTCCCCATTGACCCCAGCCTCTGCTCCTGGCAACCTCCAGTCTCCTTTCTGCTTCTGTGAGTTTGACTTTTTTAGATTCCACATAGGTGAGATCATGCAGTATTAGCCTTTCTGTGTCTGGCTTATTTTACTTTGCATAACGTCCTCCAGATTCATCCATGTTGTTGCAAATGGCAGGATTTCCTTCTTTTTTTATGGCTGTGTGATATTCCATTATGTGTGTATGTATACACATACATAGTATATACATATAATATATACATACATTATAAACATATTAAATATAAATATACACAAAAACATTTTCATTAGAGGCAACTCTTTTAAAGAGAGTTTTTACATGGGTTAAAACTGACCACAAGATAACCTGTTAATCACATTACATGACTGAGAGCTAAGGAACATTCTTTGAGCTTTTAATTTATATCTGTTTGCTAACTAAAATTTTGAACATCAATACATATTTTTAAAGAAATAGTTACACTTTGCTTCGTTCTGTGACAAATTTGCATATAAATTAAAACAATACAAATCCTCTTAAGTAGCAAAATAAAAAATTAAGACCAAATAAGAAGGAAAATGCAGATGTGTAAATCATTAGAAGGTATCCTGATTGCCAAGGTTAAGTTTCAAATTTGTCTCCTAGCTTCCTGTTAGGTACAGGAGAAGACAGAACAATTCGCCTGATTTCTTTCTTACCTGAGATGTAAAAGAAGATGACTTCTATAGGAGAACCATTATACCAGCTTAATTTTTAAATGACAGAGAAATAAGCTCTACCGTATAAGCCATTGCTAATGTTGGATCTCTCTTCTAGTAATTGAACCCATAATCTTAAATGAGACAGCCCCTACCACACTGAAATGCAATTCTTTACTAGATTGAAAGTGTTTTGAGGCCTGGAACCAACCTGTTATTTTTGGTTTTTTTTCAGTGTCTAGGACAGTGCTGAGTATTTAATAAATCTGGTGTGATCTTAAAAGGACTTTCTCATGTGCTTTTTGAAAAGTTTAGTCATGAGATAATTATCCAACTCTACAGTAGTATTTTTGCTTGCACTACCAAATTACACCTGTTTACTTCTTACAGCAACCTTCAGTAATTGAGAATGTAACATTAAAATGCGGACTGAATATGTTATATAGTCTCTGGTAGTCAGATATAATTAAAATAACTATTTAAATATCTTCTAAAAGCAAAATTAATATTATTTTCCCCATTTCTCTCTAGAATTTCTACAGACAGTTCAAGGAAATTGCTGCAGTTATTGAAACGGTGTGAAGACGGATTCTTTGGTTGATAAATTGCTATCATTCTAAAGTCATGGACTTCACTTTCTGCAACAAAACCACATCAGGATGGAACATTTATTGAATGAAAAATGCACTTTTGTTTTTCCATTTTTTTAAATAATAAAAATCAGATAAACAGGAATTGGGTAGTGGTAATCAATGCACAACTTTGTGAACGTGCTTTATAAAAGTGACTGAATTAGACACTTTAAAGGGTGTACTTGGTGATAATGTGAATGATATAATCAGACTAACATTTGAATCATTGCTATTGGAGGCAGCACAAGTTTATGTGTTACACCAGTAGTGTAAAAACTTGTACTGGATGGAACCCATTTTATAAACAATCTTATTTTGAGTCATATATAAATATATATATAAATCAGAAAAGTAGTATTTGATTAGGATAACTTGACAAATTCAGTTGTATAGCCATCACTTTTATAACGGCAGTCAGAAGAGTGAGGCTTCTTTTTTCAAACAGTTGTAATCAGATTAAGATTGACCATTGCTCGTTTACACAGTATTAGTCTAGCATTCAATTTTTTCTGGTATTAATGGTTGTAGAAAGTTCAAATACATACACAGAGTTGGAAAGACAAGTTTTAGTCTGAGTTTTGTACGACTGAGTTAACCTGTTAGCACAAGTTACTGCATTAGATGATCTCTCTTGAATTTAAATATATAAACCTGTTGTTAAACTCTTTTATTTTATAAAGCTACCACATTGTATGGCGTTTGTTTAGAAGTAAGCAAATAGGCCACCGGAATAGAATAGATGGCCTAGAAATAGATCGAGACATTCTGGTCCACCACATTGGAAATTTAAACCCTCTTCACACCCTGTCTGCATTTCTGCAGGTCTGTGTGAGTCCACTTTCTTCTTTGTTTTCTGTTAGGTAGCACACTGCTGTGAGGAGCCCAGGACTGCTGCCTGCCGCAGCACACCTGTGCGCTCAGAGTCCCACCAGCTTGATGAGTTAGCTGCTGGGCCATTTGTGCATACCAGCTACCCACAGACATTTCTATTACCCACCCTCTGGATGCCAACGCATTAATGATCCTAGAATTATGAGAACCCAAAGATCCCCTCTCTGTCCCTCCCTCAATTCTGTGGGGTACCAGTGTCATTGTGTTCCTAGAAATAAGAGTAGAAACCCCTCTATCTGGGTTAGAACAACAAACCTGCCTTCTCTAACTGCGCATGAGGTTCCTCTGTCTCCCACTTCCTTTGGATTACAACCTTCCTCTTTCCCCTTCCCTGTTTGCATCGTAGCATTTCTAGGTTTAAGGCAATATGCAAAAAGACCCAAAGTTAGGCCCTGGCTCAAACACTGTGGGTGGCAGATTTGAAATAAATTTAAATTGCATGTTTAAGTTTGTCTTTTGAATTTAAAAAGCAAGTTTTAACCTGGCACTTTGGGAGGCTGAGGTGGGCAGATCACTTGAGGCCAGGAATTCAAGCCCAGCCTGGCCAACATGGCAAAACCCCATTTTTACAAAAAATAAAAAAATTAGTCGGGTGTGGTGGCATATGCCTATAATCCCAGCTACTCGGGAGGCTGAGGCAAGAGAATTGAATGGACCCGGGAGGCAGAGGTCACAGTAAGCCACGATCTCATCATTGCACTTCAGCCTGGGTGATAGAGTGAGACTGTCCCCACCCCCCACCACCAAAAAAAAAATAAAAAGCAAGTTTTTTCATAATGTATTTTCACACTTTTTATTACAAATGTCTCTTTTTGCTTTATTAAGCAAAATGTCTATTTTTGCTTTATTAATCAGCTTCACTGGGCTGGCCTGGGAATTAACCATTGTTAAAATTTCTGTGGAAAAGTGTGTTTCAAGTTTCAAACAGTTGACTTAAATGTAAACTTTTAGAAAACAGCTCATTCTCAAATGGGAAACTATTAATACACTTTTAGTTTTCAAAAAGAAATAGATTGCTCCCCCCCACCCAAATTTATCAAGCAAAACCCAAGTTTTTTCATGTATTCCACTACCAAGACATGTTGATACAAGCATCAGATTTAGATAGAAAGAAGGCAAAACTCACAAAGTACTTAAGGAGAATTGTCTTTTCAAACAGTTTTTTTTTTTTTGAGATACAGTCTTGCTCTGTCTCCCTGTCTGTAGTGCAGTAGTGCAATCTTGGCTCACTGCAATCTCCTCCTCCCGGGTTCAAGCTATTCTCCAGCCTCAGCCTCCAGAGTAGCTGGGATTACGGGCGTGTGCCACCGCATTTGGCTAATTTTTGTATTTTTAGTAGAGAAGGGTTTCACCATATTGGCAAGGCTGATCTCAAACTCCTGACCTCAGGTGATCTGCCCACCTTGGCCTCCCGAAGTGCTGGGATTACAGGTGTGAGCCACCGCGCCCAGCCTTTCAAAACACATTTTTAAAAATCTTTTGTACCTTTTGTTTTTTAAAACTTCATAAAAGTTTTAAATTTATAGAAAAATTGTGGAAATAGTAGAGCTCCCATATTCTCCATGTCCAGTTTCCCTTATTAACATATTAGTATGGTACATTTGTTATAATTAACAAGCCAATGTTGATATATTGGATTTCTTTAGTTTTTGCCTAATGTCCTTTTTCCGATCTAGTATCCCATCCAGGATACCTCATTACATTTAGTTGTCATGTCTCCTTAAGCTCCTCTTGGTTATGACAGTTTCTCAGACTTTCCTTGTTTTTGATGACCTTGACAGTTTTGAGGAGTACTAGTCAGGTATAATTTAGGGTGCTTCTCGATTGGGTATCGTCTGATGTGTTTCTGGAATTGAATTGTGGGTTTTTGGGTGGAAGATCACAGAGGTAAAGGGCCATTTTCTACATGTCATACCAAGGGTTCATATAGCAAAGTGATTTATATTGGTTTATGTTGACCTTGATAATTGACTGAAGTAGTGTTTGTCAAGTCAAGTTACTCTTTTTTCCCCTTCTTTCCATACTTCACTGTTCGAAAGGAACTCACTATCTGCTGCCCGTACTGAAGGAGTGGGAAGTTATACCCCGCTCTTTTACGGTGGAGCAGCTACGTGTTTGACTTGGGATTCTTCTGTGAGCAAGGTTTGTCTCTTCTCCCCCATTTATTAATTTATTCCATCATTTATATCAGTATGTACCCACGGATATTTATTTTATTTTATACTTGGAGTTATAATTGAATTTTTTTGTTGCTCAGATTATTCCAGCTTTTCCATTGGTAGCTTTTTGGGTTGGCTCATGCACTCCTTTGACACACTTTTATCAATGTGTGTGTGAGAACACTTTCTTTCTGACACTACAAGACACTTCATCTTGTATATTTCCTGCCACAATCCTAGAATCTCATTACTTTCAGGAGCTCTGGTTATTTTAACTGAACTATGGTTTTAGAAACCAAGATATGGATGCCAGGTTTGCTCTATATTTTATATTTTGAGAGCATTAAAATGTAGAAGTCAGCCAGGTGTGGTAGCTCATGCCTGTAATCTCAATTCTTTGGGAGGCTGAGGTAGGAGGATCACTAAGCATTTGAGGTTACAGTGAGCTATGATTGTCCAGCCTGGGTGACAGGACAAGACCCTGTCTCTAGGAAAAAAAAAAAAAAAAAGGTAAAAAAGTTCTGCTGCCAAGATATGTTAGACCACAAAGCCAAGCCCTTGTTTGAGGATTGGTAAGAATGGTGACCTGGACTCAGTAAATGCTCTCACTTTAGTATACGATGGAATCACCTAACAAACAGGACAATATTTTGTATATGCCCTGTTTGTATGTATAAGATCAAAGATGCAAGAAAGCGGATATATCTACTTCGTAAGGTAGGCCAGAAGGTTGATAGTTTTACTAACTCATGAGGAGGCAGATAGCATCTAAGTTTGAGGAGCCCAGAATTTTGGGCTTGCTGTCTTTCATACTGTTTTGAGCTGAATGGGATGGATGGGGAGAGGACCCACTCTTACCAGGACATTTTTGAAAATAAAAGGTGACATCATTAATATGCTACAATACAGATACAAATTGGAGCTGTCCTGAGCATACCAGGACATATGGTCATGCAAGTCTCATCATACAAAGAAATTATTACTTAGCCACAACATCTATGTTCTATTTCCCTTTGCATCATAAGCCTGTTGAAGGAGTCAATGTAGTGCCTTAAAGTAGACCTAGTGTTGGCCAATTGCAGCTCATATTAGACTTACTGGTCATGCCCTAAGGCATAAAAGCTTACATTTGAAAGATACCTATATGTATATAAAGTATTCATCACTGAATGTTGTATTATTTCATTCTCCCACTGCTATAAAGGAATACCTGAGACTGGGTAATTTATGAAGAAAATAGTGGCTCACAGTTTATTCTTAAGTGGCTCACAGTTCTACAGGCTATGTAGGAAGTAAGGCAGCTTCTCCTTGGCTTCTGGGGAGGCCTCAGGAAACTTGCAATTATGGTGAGAGGCAAAGAGGAAGTGAGCATTTCATACGGCCGAGAGCAGGAAGAAGAGAGAGAGGCGGTGGAAGGTGCCACCCACTTTTAAACAGCCAGGTTTCTTGAAAACTCACCATCATGAGAACAGCGCCAAGAAGAGAAATCTGCCCCCTTGATCTAGTCACCTCCCACCAGGCCCCATCTCCAACACTGGGGATTACAATTCAACGTGAGATTTGGGTGGGGATACAGATCTAAACCACATCATTCTGCTACAATCCCTCCCAAATCTCATGTCCCTCTCATATTCCAAAATACAGTCATGTCTTCCTGATAGTTCCTCAAAATCTTAATAACTTATTCCAGCATTAACTCAAAAGTACAGAGTCCAATGTCTCATCTGAGACAAAGATAGTCCCTTTCCCCTATCAGCCTGTAAAATCAAAAACAAGTTGGTTACTTTCAAGATGCAATGGAGGTATGGGCTTTGGGTAAACATTCCTACACCCAAATGGAAAAATTGGCCTAAAGAAAGAGGCTACAGGCCCCATGCAAATCCGAAACCCATCAGGGCAGTCATTAAATCTTAGAGCTCCAAAATAATCTCTCTTGACTCTATGTCTCACATCTAGGGCACACTGGTGCAAGAGGTGGACTCCCAAAACCTTGGGCAGCTCCACCCTGTGGCTTTGCAGGGTTTAAGCCCTGTGGCTGCTCTCATGGCCTGAC